ATTCTTTAACAAGACCCGTGTAAATCCAAGTTTCCAAATTTGTGCAATATTAAAAAAAAAATTAACAAATGAGTAGTCCACTTGCAAACAGCGTTATGTGATTTTATAATAGAAAGCCATAAATTTGAAAAAAAACGACTACGACAACAAGTAACATTTAAATATAATCTTTTTTATTATTACCTGAAAATTTGGATAAATAAGAGCCTTATAAAGTTATAACATAACATAACATGACATAAGATAACATTAACAGTCTACACGACCTAAAGCAGTTTTCTAGGTTCATCAGAAGATGGATACTTTTGAAAGTTTATAAATAAGTATGATAGCGACTTTTGGAAGAAGAGTTAACATTGTATGCTATTTTTTCAGAATATAAAAAGATTTTGCACTGTGTTGTTAGTGAACATGAACCTACTTTAAATACTGGTACGTAATCCACCAAAACCTAAAAATCGAAAAAATTTTACGTAGTGCACTTTGCAAGTGTAGTACTCAAATCTTCGTACAAACTTCGAGCCATTTGAAACTTATACTTTATTCTACTGGAATTCAATGGACAACAAAACTGCATACTCAGAATCTAATTAAAAAACTCGAAATTTTTACGAGAATTTGTTGAATCTTTTTTTAAATTGCATAAATTTTTAAGGCAGTATAATAATTTTTTCGACTACTGTACAATGTACAAAAAAAGTGCGGTTTTTACGGTGGGATTACCAAACCTTGTACATTTTAAGACTTCTACCAAAATATTTCTGAAAAATAATAAGATTTACGTGAGCTGGACTGGTTTGAAAATACCTCTAAAATGGAGTTTTTTATGAATAAAAATAGTTTCTTAAAGGATTTTTTGGAAAAAATCCTCCCAGATGATAAACAGTTTAAGCTTAAAAAATCNAGAATTTGATGCTGTTTTTTAACTTTTTTCAAAGGTTTGGGTAAGAAAAACTTGAATAACTGCTGCAATACTTTACCGATATAGACTATGAGGTATCAGTGGAAAGGTATTTTCTCACCTTTTTTGTTTCTTTGCAAAACAAACTTATTCACGTCCCAAAGTTTTCTTTATCAAATACCAACACATCCTAACTCAACATGGAATGACACGCGTTTATCTTACCTTCCTCTTTCATACTTTGAATGAGCTAATTCGCAAAGAAATTCAAAGGGTGAGAAAATACCTTACCAATGATAACTCATAAGTTTAAATTGGTAGGGTTTTTGGCAGGGTTATTCAAGTTTATCTTAAACCAGTCTTTGATAAAAGTTCAAAAACAGCATCGAAAATCTCATTAGATATTATGATTCCGTAGAAAATTTGTTTAAAATATTTGTACAAAAATTTTTTAAGCTTAAACTGTTTGGTAATCTGAGGGAATTTTTTTCAAAAAATATTTGAGGAAAACTGTGTTTTTTTTAATAAAAACTCAATTTTTGGAGGTATTTTCAAATTGGTCCAGCTCACGTAAATCTTATTATTTTTCAGAAATATTTTGGTAGAAGTCTTAAAATATAATAGATTTCATAATTCCAGTGGAAGAACAGTATATGTTGAAATAAAAGTGAAAATAAAAGAAATATTTTGCCATTTTTTAAACAGATGGCAACCCTGTTGTTGTTGTTGTTGTTGTAGCGGCTACAACAACCCCGCCCAGGACGGTTGGTATCTCAGTCCTTGTCGTCAAGTTCCNTTATAATTATTATAAGAAGTAAATAATATTCATCTTGAAATAAACGTCCCGAGAGACCACAAAAATATAACAACCCATATAATTATTATGAGAAGACGTAAATAATATTCGTCTTGAAATAAACGTCCCGAGAGACGAAAAAAATAAAAAGCCCATATAATTATTATNACTGCTCCAAAAACCTATATCCCGAAAATGAAAGTTATATCTGCAAATCATAAGTTGTTAGAGCACTTTAAAGGCTCAAAATTTACCCCAAAATATTTACCATTGTTTCCAGGACACACACCAAATCGGTTACTTACAGAAATGTATTTTTCAATAGGTTTGGAATTTTGTCTTTGAAACGCCTACGGTTGCCAGACGTACTGATTTTATCAGTACAGTACTGATTTTTTAACTCTTGTACTGATTTTATTCATTTCTTCAATCAGTACGATAATGTCCTGATTTTTCACAATTTGTATTGATTTGTACTGAATTTTCAATTCGAACAAAATACTTTAGGATTTTCTTAAGGTTTTTACATAACTTTGGAACTTCCTTAAACTGTACTGTAAAATGTTAGAAGAAAATAATTTAATTATAGTTGACATGTTTCAGATAATGTTTGATATGCCCAAAAAAATAATACAATAAAAAGATCAATCGTTTTACGGGCATATCGCCGGCTCGTTACGTAGCAGTTGCGATAATATGATGCAGCTTAAATTATTTAAAAAGAAGGCTGACATTTTTTTGTCGTGTGTTGTTAGTTATCTCGAAAATAAATAACNTATTTAATATATACCAAAATATTGTCAAAAATAAGTTCTCCGGCGTTTTAAAGTATTATCTGTTACTTTCATTCATAATTTTGCTTTGAATAAAAATGTACTGAAAAGTACTGATTTTTTAAGCAGGAAAAAGTCGAACATACTGATTTTGCGCATACAAAATCTGGCGACCCTAGAAACGCCACGTCTTTCTTTGAAATCGCTTCACTAGTTCTCGTGCAATAAGCGTTTTCGTGAAGCTCTAAAAATTACAACTACAACATTTCAGCATAACCTCCATCTCGAAACGCAAGACGTATTTTACGTCAAAAAGTTATAAACATTAAATTAACAAAAGCAAAATAGCCAAAACTCAGCAGCAAGTGTATATGTAGAAAATAAATTTGTTTGATATCGATAGACTCTCTGTTACCGTGGTCCGATCGCGGATACTCGTATATCTGCATATTCGTCTCTAGAAAAAGAGTTCCCACATGTCAAGAAATTAAATTCAAAAAAAGTTAAGTGTAATACTACAATATGGGATCAATCGAAATGGTTTTGAAAAGGCTTTATTTCTTAACTGCATGTATGAGGGTTGCCACCTGTTTACAAAGTTAACTCCGATTTGAATTATGGGAATTAGGTAATTGAAATATATACCACAACATGTGTGTCAGATAAAATAGGTTAAGAGGAATTCAGATTGAAAGCATTTTGAAGAGGGTTGCCACCTGATTACACAGTCAACCTCCAGTTGAATTGTTGGAAATAGATAGTCGAAATATGTATCACAATATGGGTGTCAAACAAAAGAGGATTATGAAGGTTATATCTTGAAAATATTTTGAAGAGGGCTGCCACCTTTTTGAAAAGTTGGGTTTTAATTTAATATTCACAATTCAAATCAATACTAATATATATTTTAAAAGCCGTCTTTTTTCTGTTCGCTCGAGAACGGCTGAACTATTTTTTTTTTCGAAATTGCTAACACCTGCTGCAGACGTCCCAAGGATGGTTATAGGCTAAAAAAATGTCTATATATAAAGGGAGCGTGGCACCTCCTATACAAACCGAATTTTTCATACTGCATATTAGAGTTGGGCACTTTAGTTCTTTTGAGTGAACCATTCACTTATAGTTCGTTCACCTTCTTCTTTAGTTCATATAGTTACATTAGTTCAATTTACGAATATATTTTTGTTATTTTAAACAAAGTTCAATTATTTTTATTACCATCCTACATAAAAAACCTAAGCTTTGTTGTTTTAATACAATACTTTTAAATACATACCTATGTAAATACATCATACAAATTGTATAAAAATTATTCAACCTTTTTCAATCGATGGCATACATTTTCAGTAATTGTAATCTTCTTAGCACTATTGTTATTACACAAAAATATTTAATTACGTAAGTAGCATATTTAATTCTAACATTGTTTCAACCTTTTACTGAGTTTTCGTATAAATAAAATACAAATAAACGAGTCTATAAAACAAACACTTTAACAAATTCTCAGAATGTAAACAAATGTAAATACATACATATGTACGAAATGTAAACACTTATGTACATAGTGCTGTGCAAAAACATTAAATTAGAAAGCTTGTTATTTAATATGGTAAATGAATTATTATATTATAGGAATCAATCAAAATGTTGTTGTACCTTAACTACATACATATAGGAAGGTAGACACCGGTTTAAAAACCCAATTTAACATGGTTTAAGGAAATTAGATAATTGAAATATCTATCACAATATGGATGTCAGAGGAAAGAGTTTTGACAAGTACCGAGGCATTTTCCTCCATATAAAAGTAATTGACCAGCATACTTTATATGGGAGAAAATTATTAAAAATTAACCCGATCTTCTAGCGGCTTGAAATTTGCACTTTAATCTACTAAAATTTAGAGAGCTATAAAACTGCGTACCTTGTTTTTAAAAAATTTTGTACATATAAAAAGTTTAAAACTTTTGAGTGTAATTGTTAAAGTTTATTTAATTTTTTAATTTTTTTACAAAGCTTGAAATGTGAATTTTCGTAGTGCTGATCATGTGATGTGCTGGATTTTAACACAAAAACTATAAATATTAAATAAACGAAAGAAAAATAACCAAAACTGGTCAAATGCCACTGGTATTACTCCCTAATCGTAAACTACATGCTGGAGAGCTGTAAAACCTTAGGATGTGCACTTCCTCCACAGTCAACTTGGCCAATACACCAGAACTTAAAAACTGTGGAAGAAAGGTACTTACCAAAAGTAGCGAAAAGTATAATTTTTATGTACATAACAACGTAATAAATAAATGCAGTTTTTAATGCAAATTTGTGTTTTTCTGTGCAAGTAAAAATCTAGAAAACTACACGTAGGAAATAACAATTTGTTCAGTTCATATAATCGGTATAAGGTCCTAATTTAGAAATTAATTATAGATCATTTGAACCAAATCCACTGTTGACCAGTGTTATTCACTGGTTTTATTACTTTATATCTAATGAAACGTTTAAAATCAATAATCCTTATTTCTTGCAGCAATATATTGGAGCTGAAGAGACGTTATTTCAGATAAGTCGGACTTGAGATAAGAGAAGTGTGGATGACACTGGTTTACTTTAATTCGTGACAAGAGTATAACCGATTTAATAGATTATAGTATCCTATTGGAAAGATTTTCACACTTAAAGAATATACAAATGCAAAAGCAAAACCGAGGAAAATACTGTCTGCGACTTCATAGATCAGCCTGATACTAGCCAAAAGTTGCACCAAACGCGACAAATATTAGAAAGAAAATATGCAGGTTCCAGAGCGATTGGTATCACTATATATTGCAACTTGCGGACAAAATGGCCCCGGACTGGGAGCAGATGAAAAGGAAATAATACTGCTGGTGTACGTTGTTTTGGAAGCAAGCAGTGGCAAGGTAATATACAATAAGATTCTTTAAACAAAAAATTTACATTTCCCTTACTTCTGAGAAGATATCGTCGGTCCCTACAAAGAGTAGCACATTTCACTATTCGCGAGGAAGACTAGTACGTTTCACTATTAGCATGGAAGACTAGCACATTTCATTATTCGCGTCGAAAAGTAGCACATTTCAGATCTTTGCGTGGAAGAGTAGCACATTTCATTATTTGCGTTGAAGACTAGCACATTTCAGATTTTTGCGCGGAAAAGTAGCAGATTTCACCACGTGCGTTGAAGAGTAGCACATTTCAGGTTTTTGCGTGGAAGAGTAGCACATTTCAGATTCTCGCGTGGAAAAGTAGCACATTTCATAATTTGCGTGGGTTTAAGGGTTTAAAGTAAATCATAAAAGTATAATTTCCATTAAAAATTCAAGTGCTTTTATTATATTTCTATAATTATATTTTACAATTTATGAAATTCAGATGGTATATAGCGTTTAGTGATCATTTGTTGAAAATATTCAATTAAATTAAAGTCCATTTAAAAAAACCCTGTAAGCCCACGTTTAAAACTTGGTAGAAATCTAAAAAAAATGCAACTAATTTCAATACAAATTTCAAACTTATTTACTCAGAAGTGTAACAATTTTTTTGAGTATGAAGCTTTATAGCTCATTCAATTTTAGTATGACAATGTGCAAGTTTCAAGAGTCTTAAATTTACCTTTGATTCTTTTTATCGCATTTGCTCCCATATAATGAATAAACACAATATCTTTTTATATGGAGGAAAACCGCAATAACGGAAATTTTTAGCCGCTTGAAACTTGTATATTATTGCAGTAAAATTGAAAGGCCTTTAAAACTTTATACTCGAAAAATTCTGACAAAATAAGTTTGAAATTTGGATGTACATTTTTTGACTTTTTTTTAGTTTTCTACAAAGTTGTAAACTTGGGTTTATATGGACTTTTTCAGAGAATGAACTTTATTTGAATGAAAATTCTTAAAAATAAATAAATAAACACAAGTGAAAAACAATATCACTTTGAAATGGGGTGCTCTTGATATGACTGCATGTACATATGTGTATGTTTCTCGTGTTTATAAATAGACTAGCGGTATCCCGGTGTGCTTCTCTACACCAAATATTGAAAAAAATATTGAAAAATGAATGAAAAATCCAGGAATTTTTCTATATGATTTTTTTTTCTATATTGCAGCCATGTTTATACTTCACTTAATTTATCCGAAGAAAAAAAAACACAGCCCATCATAGCAAAAATTTTTCACTATGTTTTCCATTTTTCATTTATCTGCTGTTGTACCATATACGTGGTTCATGTGACAGACATAAACTGTTACATATCATGAACCGCTGGACCTAATTCGGGCACACTTCACATAACCCATCTGCATGATAGTCCGAATATAAGTACCGTTTAAATTTGGTAGAATTCGGGCACTTATTTTTTATATGTAAGATGGGAGGTGCCACGGCCTCTTTTCCAATACCGCCCATTTTTCTCCGTGAATATGGAATTATTTGATATACCTCTATACCAATTTCCAGTACTCTACCACAAATATTTCAAGAGATATATGTACAATATAAAAATTTTAGTTAGTATGGGAGGTGCCACACTCCCTTTTACGAATTTGGGCAAACTTCAAATAAACCATCTGCATGATAGCCTGAATATGCCGTATAAATTTGGTTGAATTCTGTGAAGCCGTTCTCAAGTTATAAGCTCACACCAAAAACGTGTACTTATTTTTATACATAAGATACATATGCCACGCCCCCTTTACCAAATTTGGGCAAACTCCACATAAAATATCTGCATGATGGCCCGAATATGCTATATAATTTTGGTTGAATTCGGTGAAGCCGTTCTCAAGTTATAAGCTAACTCACTAATTTTTATATATAAAATAGAGGCGCCACGCCCCCTTTTCCGAATTCAAGCAAATTTCACATAAACCATCTGCATGATAAATTGAATATGCCACATAAACTTGGTTGAATTCGGTGAAGCCGTTCTCAAGTTATGAGGTCACACCAAAAACGTGCACTTATTTTTATATATAAGATTCCTTGAGGAAGACGCGAATATTCATCGAAACAAGTAGGAGGAAAATAAACGTTTATTTTATTTGTAATAAAAGACCGAAAAGTTCCATACACAACATTAAACTTTCAGCTTAGTCGAGGAGAAATAATAATAACATAGTACTTGTATGCTTGGTTTTTGTACGGCTGCTAGTACCACTTTATATGAATTTGCTACTCTTCCACGCATATAGTGAAATGTGCTGCTCTTCCAAAAATCTGAAATGTGCTAGTCTTCCCCGCGAATAGTGAAATGTGCTAGTCTTCCACGTGAGAATTTGAAATCCGCTACTTTTCGACGCGAATAATGAAATGTGCTGATCTTCGCAGCGAATAGTGAAACGTGCTAGTCTTCCACGGTAATTTGAGATGTGCTACTCTTCGTTGGGAACGACGATATAGTGGCGACGCAAACTGCCAACCAGGTTTTCTTTGAAAAACAAAAGGGTCCTTTATTGATTTTTCAAAGAAAGTATTTTATTGTTAATTTGCNACTTTTCGACGCGAATAATGAAATGTGCTGGTCTTCGCAGCGAATAGTGAAACGTGCTAGTCTTCCACGGTAATTTGAGATGTGCTACTCTTCGTTGGGAACGACGATATAGTGGCGACGCAAACTGCCAACCAGGTTTTCTTTGAAAAACAAAAGGGTCCTTTATTGATTTTTCAAAGAAAGTATTTTATTGTTAATTTGCTACATTTTTACTTCCATTTTACAAATTAGATTTTAAATTTTAACCCTTATTTGGCTTTACCAGTTGTAAATACTTTGAGAGCACAGCGCAAGCGGCACGCAAGTCTTCGTCGATTAATTTATTGCATATCTTCTGTAACCATTGGCTAATTTGCTCGATTAAGAGTCTTTTATACTCCCCATTTTGTCCAAAATAAGATCTCATATAAAAATAATGAAATTCAGGCGGTATACAGCGTTCACTAATCATTTGGTAAAGAGCACACTCTTTGTTTTTTTCAAGGTATTTTTGCTTTTGGCCATTCATAGCGTTTTATGGTTGAACATTTAAAATTTTTTTCAATATGTTCAACTTCTCGTTCTGTGAGGTCGTATTTTATACACATATCTACGTGATTTTTGTTATTTTGTACTGAAATTTTCCTTATAGGCNATATACAGCGTTCACTAATCATTTGGTAAAGAGCACACTCTTTGTTTTTTTGAAGGTATTTTTGCTTTTGGCCATTCATAGCGTTTTATGGTTGAACATTTACAATTTTTTTCAATATGTTCAACTTCTCGCTCTGTGAGGTCGTATTTTATAACATATCTACGTGATTTTTGTTATTTTGTACTGAAATTTTCCTTATAGGCGGCATACACCATGCGTCTGAATCGCGAGTCAGTTTGGATGTGTTTGTGAAAATAAACATGTCTAACACTTGGCATGACTCTGAATGATTCAACTGTCAACTGGCGAGTCAACACGTACACAAATGACTCGCGAGTCAGATGCACCGTATATGCCGCCTATTACAATCGATTGTTTTTTTTTTGCTAATGAATTTTATTTTGCGTTTTTTCTTCGACATTTTACACTTTCTCACATCAGCCGACACCACTCTCCTTTCATGAACACATCCTTTCTGGAAGTATGCCGTTTTATACGAACGTGCATTGAATCACCAGGCCTGCCTCCACAAATATAGAAAATTTTGTACGACTTAATAACGGGTGATTTTTTAAGAGCTTGATAACTTTTTTTTAAAAAAAAACGCATAAAATTTGCAAAATCTCATCGGTTCTTTATTTGAAACGTTAGATTGGTCCATGACATTTACTTTTTGAAGATAATTTCATTTAAATNCCCTCCACAAATATAGAAAATTTTGTACGACTTAATATATTATATGGACTAATGTGGACGAAAAATCTGTCTATGTGAGCCAGCCAGTTCTACCTAAGCTAACCTTACCAAATATAATTTTATTCATATGAAATGAACTATGTATATGAACTATACATATATGTATTTTTAATATTCATATATATTCAAAGCTTATAACACACGATTGCGGTATGGCAAATATGAAAGAGGAAGAGCTCCAGAATATTGGACCCCTTCCTAAACGTATTTTTTTTACAGTGTATTGAAGTTTTCCCAACTTGATTGATCTTATAAAACTACATTTACCATTAATCTTGTTTTAAACGGTATATAGTAAAATTTAGTGGCGCATATTTTGTTTGGGCCAAATCTAGCAGAAATTGAAAATTTCCCCCTGACTTATTGATTTTGTGCACACCAAGTAATTGTATTATTGTAAATTTAAAAAAATTTGCAATATTGCGCTTAAGAAGCCTAATGTGTTCACCAAATTTGGTTGAAATCGGTAAAATAGTTTTTGAGATACAAATATATGATATAAGTGGGCGGTGCCACCCCCATTTTCCTAAAATTTCTTGAAAAACCACTTTTTTCCTAAAGAGCGATTGTATATACATATCAATCTTTAATAAATATTGATGAATTCCTTAGTCACACTGCTCGAAAAATCTGAAAGTCCGGTACATACACAATATAAATTCTAGGCCGAATTTAATAAAAGTTGCCTAACTTCGACAATTTTTATGCGATTGCAATAAATGAGCTATCAGTTTATTTTAAAATAGATTTAATTTTGGATAGTACCACATATTTTGAAATTGTGGAAATTATCGACGGTCCAAATTTAAAAAAATTATGAGAAATATGGGGTTTTTTATTATTATTATTTTAAAACTCATAAATATACAAATTCATATTTTCTGACCTAAGTCGACCTCTAAATGACCTTTAAAACTATATAAAAATAGGCAACAATAATTCTCATAAAAACGAATAAAATTAGGGGTAGGGTCTTGAAGTATTTTCAATGGGCACCCTAATAATTAGTTACTTTG